TGCTGCTGTTGATTCTGATGACGCCAAAGATTCTGATGATGAATATGCAGGTTATGGCGATGACGCTGACGATGGTCATGACGATGATGCTGCTGCTGCTGATGATACTTATGATGACGATGCTGATTATGATGATGATGCTGATGTTGCCGATGAGGACGATAATGATGATGCTGATTATGATTATGGTGGTGGTGGTGATGACTGTGATGATAATGATGATGACGACGACGACGATGATGATGATGCTGATTATGATGATGATGATGATGATGATGATGCTGATGATGATGCCCATGATGATGATGGTGCCGATGCTGATGCTGATGTTGATGCTGATGCTGATACTGCTGCCTGCTGCTGCTGCTGCTGATGATGATGATGATGATGATGATGATGATGATGATGATGATGATGATTATGAGAGGAGGAGAGGAGGAGGAGGAGAGCAGGAAGGAGGAGGAGGAGGAGGAGGAGGAAGGAGGAGGAGAGGGGAGGAGGGAGGAGGAGGAAGGGAGGAGGAGGGAGGAGGGAGGAGGAGGGAGAGGAGGAGGGAGGAGGAGGAGGGAGGAAGGAGGGAGGAGCGAGGAGGGAGAGGGAGGAGGGAGGAGGAGGGGAGGAGGGAGGGGGGAGGGGGAGGGGGAGAGGGGAGGGGGGAGGGGAGGAGGGGGAGGGAGGGAGGAGGAGAGGAGGGAGGGAGGGAGGAGCGAGGAGCGAGGAGGGAGGAGGAGGGAGGGAGGCGGGAGGGAGGGAGGGGGGAGGGAGGGAGGGAGGGAGGGGAGGAGGGAAGGAGGGAGGGGGGAAGGAGGAGGAGGGAGGAGAGGAGGAGGGAGGGAGGGAGATGATGCTGATGATGATGCCCATGATGATGATGGTGCCGATGCTGATGCTGATGTTGATGCTGATGCTGATACTGCTGATCCTGCTGCTGCTGCTGCTGATGATTGATGATGATGATGATGATGATGATGATGCTTATGAGGAGGAGGAGGAGGAGGAGGAGGAGGAGGAGGGAGAGGAGGAGGAGGAGGAGGAGGAGGAGGAGGAGGAGGAGGAGGAGGAGGAGGAGGAGGTGGAGGAGGTGGAGAGAGGAGGAGCGCGACGAACCGTCATCGGCCCGGGCGCGGCGCCCAGGTGTCCGACACGGAACTGCTCCTGCACCTGCGGCCCTGCGCTGCCGGGGAGGGCGAGAACCACGTCGGGGCGCCGCCGCGCGCGCCTCGCGCGGGGGGTTGGCGAAGAGGGCCCCGAGGTGGGAGGGCCTCTGAAGGCGCGCCTTTGGAGGCCCAAGAGGTCCAGACGAGGTTTCTCCACAGCGCCGAAAGGAGGAACGACCACAGATGTTCCTCAGTGTTTCACGGATGTGGAGTTTCCCGCTCTTTCTGCCAGGAGGGCCCCAGGGCGGGAGGGCCTTCGGAGAAGGTTCTGTGTCCCCGGGGGAGACGGAAAACTTCTCAGAAGGCAGGGGGGCTTTGAGAATCCCCGCCGCCTTTTCACAAGGCCTGTTCCTTCTCACTTCCCCCCGGGGCGTGCCGCGGAACAGGACGAGCCAGTTGAGATTCTCGCTTTCCCTGCTGTCCGACCGCTCAGGACAGCCCAAAGCCTCCCAAGACCGCCCCTGGGAGCCCGAAGAGGCTGTCAAGAGGGTCCCATGACTGCCCACGAGGGCCCAGGGAGGGGCCAAGAGCCACCCAAGGCAGCCAGAAGGGAGCCAGAAAAGAACCCCCAGACGGCGCAGGAGGGTCCCAGCACGCTCCAAGATCGGCCCAACAGCACTCCCCAAGACGGCCCTGGATGACTTCCAGACGTTCAAGGGGGGCCTCTGCAGGCCCCAGAGGTCCGCAAGAAGTCCCCCCCCCCCCCCACCCACACAGCGCCTGAGGACAGAACAAGCCCAGATTTTCCGCAGGATTTCACGCGTTTTGAGCTTCTCGCTTGTTCTGCTTCCCGACCGCCCAAGACGGTCCAAAAAGCTCCCAAGACCGCCCCTAGAGGCTTCGAGAGGCTGCCAGGAGAGCCCCACGGCTGCTCGCGGGGGCCCGAGGAAGGGCCAAGAACCACCCAAGACGGCCAAAGGGGGCCCGACAAGAGCCACTGGAACGACCACAGAGAAGATACCAAACTACGAAACAAACGGCTCAAGCATGCCCATAATCCTCCACGACCGCCTCTGGACGGCGCAGGAGGCGCCTTAAAGGCATCCCCAAGGACGCTCCAAAGCTCCCCCAGAGCAGAAGAGAGCCCGAACCTTCTGTTTTCCTAACGCTCTTATTTTCCAAAGGTTTTTGAGAGTTGCTCGGCTTTCCCCTCCGTCAGGATCCTGTTTGCCCAAGACAGCCCCAGAGGCTCCCGAAACCTCAGCCCGAAAACCCAAGATGCTGCCAAGAGGGCCACACGACTGCCCACGAAGGCGCACGGACGGCCCAAGGTGCACCCAAAAGACGGCCAAGGAGAGCCCCACAAGGGTTTCCTGAGGGGAGCCACAGAGCAGGAGCGAGGCTCCGAGACGGCTCAAGCGCGCTCCAGAACCTTCCACGACGGCTTCTGGACAGCTCTGGAGGTCCCCAAGACGCCACGCGACCGCCCCAAGAGCGCTCCAAGGCTCCTCCAGAGAGCCGACAGAAGCCAACATCACAGGTATCTTCAGGTTTTTACGCATTCCCTGCTGCTCTATGTTTCGGGTCCCCGGCTGCCCAAGGCGGCCCAAAAGACTTCCAAGACCGCCCCTGGAACCGCCAAGAAGCTGCCATAAGGGCCCCACGACAGCCCAAGAGGGCCAAGAACTGCCCAAGTGCCGCCCAAGACGACCAAAGGGAGACCCAATAGAGCCCCAAGAGAGCCGCAGAAGATGCCACAGAGCCTGTCGGCTTCGAAAGGCACCAAAGACCCCAAACATGCCCCCCCAGAGGCCCCCTCCGGCTTCGAGACGACCCTATGACCCCCATGAGGGCACCAAGAGGCGAAAATGATGAGTCGCCTTTGAGTTTGTGGTGTATTTCAACGTTCTTGCCGTTTCGTGCGTTTCGCGGTCGACGACTGCCGAATACATCCCCAAGAACGCCCCGAGACAGCCGAAAAGGCTTCAGAAGAGCCCTGAGACGGCCCCTCCTGGGGGGGAGAGCAATGGAAGCCCCCCCTCGCGGTCCGCGGGCTCGCAGTCGTCGCGTCGTCCCCCACACGAAAGCGACGAGGTACGACGACGTGCGACGACACGACGACTTGCGACGACTTGCCACGACGATTCGGTTGGACCCCCCATGGCGGACAGCCCCAGGATGGCCCCGGATGGCTCAAACTTGCTTCCAAGACGATCCAAAAGTCCCTCGAGACGGCCCAACAGGGTTTCAAGATGGCTTCAAGACGGCCCAGGAGGCACCCGAGGCGCAAGTCGGCACGACGCTTTGAGTGGGGTCGCGCCCTCGTCGGTCGGCAGGGGCCGCGGCCTCCGCCTCACTCTTGTCCCTGGTAGAGATGCCAGCAAGGCAGGGCGCCGACATGAGGCCCACTTAGGGCTCAGGAGGGGCTCGGGTTGTTGGTCCGTTCCTCAGGTCTAGGTCCGGGAACCTATTCGTGGACGAGGCCCACAGTGGTCTGGCAAGCCCCTTCGTTCCCCAATTGGCGTTCTTGTTGGCAGTGCCATGGCTGTATTTCTTTTGTATCGCACCACCGATGTGTCGTTCGGGGCGGGCTGGGTATTTCGCCTGATGTTTGTCGCTGGCTCATTTTCTTTGTCTTCACACACATATATATATATATGTACATATACATCTATATACATGTATTATTTGCAACGGTATGGAGTATGCTTCGTTCGGCCAAATGATGGTCTCGATCTGGCGCCTCAAGCGCTCGTCTTTCAGAGTCAAGCCGCTGCATGGAAGGTTTTTTTCAATCTGTGACTTCTGCCTCGGCGCCGCGCATTCACATCCACACGGATACAGGGCGCGTCGGTTTCGAAACGGGCCTCTCTCGCTCCTTCGCCGCGCCCAATCGTTTCAAGCGTCTCCAGCACATGCACGGATTGAGGCGGTCTCTCTTCCCAGATTCGGGGTCTATTTTCTCGGGACTCCCCGACAACTTATGACCGCACGGGCCACTGCGCAGCAGTTGCACCCAAATTGAGGGCGGCCCCTTCTCGAAATGGGGGCTCTCGCCCGAGACGACGCCCTCCTGCCGTGTATGACCACGAGCCTCACGCCATGCTGCGGTTGCACTTCCTCTGCAGCGCGGGGCTGTCGCGCGGCACTGCCTGAACTTTGCACGGCCGACCCGCACAGTGAGGACGAGCGACCTTCCCGATGGTGCCCCTGCATCCTTGCCTCCTCGGCCCATCCTTGGCCACTTTCGTTGGCCGCACCCCGCCCGAGCGGCTTCGGAGTGGGCGTCCGAGGCTCTTGCATCCTCATCGCGCATCCCTCTGATACGGGCCGACTGTTATCAAGGGCGCCCTCGAGGGAGCGAAGATATTCGCGCTTCGCTCTTCGCGGTTCGGCTCCGATTCCTCCTCATCCTCCTCTTATCCCGTGGGAGGCGGCGCGAGAGCGCGAAATTATTCGCATTTCGCGCTTCGCGCAGCGCGAAGCGCGAAGTTGGGAGCCCTTGGATACGGGCCGACCGTTACCCCGCTTGTCGCCTTCTGTCCAGCTCTGCGGATGCGGCTTTCACAACGGCTATCCCGCCTGCGTTGAGAGGGGCCCTTGGGCGCGCGCCTTGCCCGGGGGGAGGCGTTTTGCGCAGGGGAGGAAGAGACGGGGGAACTAAACGAGGAGGGGACTTGGGACTGAAAGCTGCCTTGCAGCATCGGTGCGGGATGCTGGGTTTACTCTGGTCCTCCTCTTCCCTCTCCTCCCACGCCCCCCTGACTGGCAAGGCTTCCAAACAAACGGTGCGTCACACGAGAGCGCCGCATTCTTCGTGTCCTGGCCAGAGCCATTGTTCGACAACGTACTCCGAAAACGCACATCAACACTGTACTACGCGAGCCACTTGAACAGAAGTCCATGGCGCAGGCGTTGACTGCAACAGTGACCTTCTTGGTGTTGCTCGTGCACTGCAGTGGGCTCAGCCTGCATACTAATTGCGGAGGGCATAATGACAGCAGCGTTTCTGTGGCCCAGCAAAAAATCATACGCAAGGCCAACGCGGGTTCTGCACTCTCAGCGAGCATGGGATCTTACCCAGGAACCTCAAGTGGCGTTTCTGGCGTTGTGTCGGTCACCGTGGACGGTGGTCTCCTCAAAGTCGCTTACACTTTGACAGGTCTGGACGCGAGCTTGACATCAGGTGGCTTGCACATTCATTCTGGTTCAGGAACTGAGGTGTGTTCCGATTCGTCCCTCCCGGGAGGCCACTACTTCGCGACGGGCTTTGCCGACCCGTGGTTTACCACATGGGCAAAAAGCTCTGGCGATACCACAGCCGTCGGTTCTTTCACGGTGGGTGCAAGTGGATATGACACTCTTGCCGACAATGATCTCCATGCGGTGGTGGTGCACGGTGCCGGAGGTGCCCGAGTGGGTTGTGGATTCCTTCAGTACTACGGGTCTCTATCATCAAGCATCGGCTCGTATCCAGGAACCTCGAGCGGTGTGAGTGGGGTGTTCACAGTCTCGGTGTATACGGGTGTGCTCGAAGTGTCCTACACATTGGATGGGCTCGCCGCGAGTGAGACTTCGGGCGGGTTGCACATCCATTCTGGGGCGGGCGCTGATGTGTGCTCCAGCGCTTCCCTCCCAGGTGGCCACTACTTCGCGACGGGTTTCGCCGATCCGTGGTTTACCACGTGGTCGAAACCGGCCGGCTCCACGAGTGCCTCGGGAACCTTCATCGTCGGTGCATCTGGCTACGACACTCTCGCTGAGAATTATCCGTACGGGCTTCGCCCCCTGCCGCCGGCCCCCTCTCTCGGAGAATGGGCCATGGAAGAGCTAAATCATGAGGCCTTGGCGCTGTCGTGAAGCAGTATCGAAACTTCATGCGAAGCCGATTCGCAATCAGCAAAACCAACTGATCACAAGAGGGGTTACCACACCTGGCGATTGGTAAGACGTGTATGGTTTACGGGCTTGGTTACCACACCTTGCGATTAAAGGGCCGAGGGAGTTCTCGCAGTTTGGGTTACCACGCCTTGCGATGGATGTGCGTGAAGGGTGGCACCGAATTTCAGAAATGTGGCAAATCCCATGTGTTTTTGGACCCTGACCCCGCGGATCTGCGTAGGGGTGGCGAATTTCAGAAATGTGGCAAATCCCCTGTGTTTTTGGACCCTGACCCCGCGGATCTGCGTGAGGGGTGGCACCGAATTTCAGAAATGTGGCAAATCCCCTGTGTTTTTGGACCCTGACCCCGCGGATCTGCGTGAGGGGTGGCACCGAATTTCAGAAATGTGGCAAATCCCCTGTGTTTTTGGACCCTGACCCCGCGGATCTGCGTGAGGGGTGGCACCGAATTTCAGAAATGTGGCAAATCCCATGTGTTTTTGGACCCTGACCCCGCGGATCTGCGTGAGGGGTGGCACCGAATTTCAGAAATGTGGCAAATCCCATGTGTTTTTGGACCCTGACCCCGCGGATCTGCGTGAGGGGTGGCACCGAATTTCAGAAATGTGGCAAATCCCCTGTGTTTTTGGACCCTGACCCCGCGGATCTGCGTGAGGGGTGGCACCGAATTTCAGAAATGTGGCAAATCCCATGTGTTTTTGGACCCTGACCCCGCGGATCTGCGTGAGGGGTGGCACCGAATTTCAGAAATGTGGCAAATCCCATGTGTTTTTGGACCCTGACCCCGCGGATCTGCGTGAGGGGTGTCGATTTCGAGCCCCCCCAGCAATTCAGACAACGCGCTCAGGGGGTGCTAAAAAGCCGGTTTGGGCCCCCCCCCCCTCGCGCGGTCAATCAACTAGTTACAGTAACCAGCAATAAGTCAATGAGTTACAGTAACCAGCAAGAAGCAGAACTGTAACACTGGAAACTAAAAGCTACAACTGGTACAGGAAACTGCGAATCACGGGCCTACAGCCTGGTGGCCCCACAAGGGGGCCGGCGGATCTCCACGCCGTGGTGCTGCACGCAGCCTCGGGCTCACGCATTGGTTGCGGTTACCTTGGAAGCTACTCGACCGTGCCGAGCGAGCTCGCTGCGGCGATGGGCCCTTATCCAGGTACTTCCAGCGGTATCTCTGGTGTCGTGTCCGCAACAGTCATGGACTCTGGGCTCCTTCGATTGGGCTACTACTTGGACGGACTCGCGGCAAGTGAAACCTCGGGCGGGCTGCACATCCATTCGGGGTCGGGCACTGCTGTGTGCTCCGACGCTTCCCTCCCAGGTGGCCACTATTTCGCGACGGGCTTCGCCGATCCGTGGTCCACCACGTGGTCAAAGGCGGCTGGCAGCACTGTTGCCAAGGGCTCTTTCACGGTGGGTGCAAGCGGCTATGACACCATTGCTGCAAATGCGGACCACGCCGTGGTGCTACACGCTGCCTCGGGTGCACGAATTGGCTGTGGCTACGCGGGTGCTGGCAAGTCCCTGACCGCCGCCATGGGCTCGTACCCAGGCACGGCGAGTGGAGTGTCCGGGACCGTGACGGTCACCGTGAGTATGGGCCTCCTCTCCGTCTCCTACACCCTCACGGGACTCTCTTCGAGCGACACGTCCGGCGGCCTGCATATCCACTCAGGGTATGGTGCAAGTGTTTGCTCGGACCCGTCCCTTCCAGGTGGCCACTACTTCGCCTCGGGCTTCACTGATCCGTGGTACACCACGTGGACCAAAGCGGCTGGCACCACGGTGGCTTCAGGCTCTTTCACCGTGCTCGCGTCGGGGTACGACACCCTCGCCGAGAACTACCTCCACGCCGTCGTGGTTCACGCTGGCTCGGGTGCGCGGATCGGGTGTGGTGTGCTTGGCGGGTCATTCTCAAGCCCGTTTGCCACGGGTGATCCGCACTTGCAGAATTTGCACGGTGAGAGGTTCGACCTGATGAAGCCGGGTAAGCACCTTTTGATCCAAGTTCCGCGCAAGAGCCCTGAGAACACGCTGCTTCGTGTGGACGCTGACGCACAGCGCGAGGGTGGACAGTGCACAGACATGTACTTCCAAGAGCTGAACATCACAGGCGCCTGGGCGGAGGCGAGGCAGACCGGCGGCTTCCACTACCACGCCGACGACGTCGACGGCAAGCCTCCTCAATGGGCGCACTTCGGGAGCGTGCAGCTGAAGGTCTCCCACGGGCGCACGCGGCAGGCCCGCGCCAGGGAGATTCGTGCCGATCCGCCAGTCTGGCGAGGCCTGCCCCAGGGAAGCCTCGCGGAGCGCTGTGTACGGATTAGGAGGGACAGCTCGGCACAGACCCACGCAGACGCCGGTGCGCATGAGCATATCGGAAGACATAAGACAAATGCAGGGGACTAGGATCATCCAGGAGCTGTGGACGAGTGTGGGGACTCCTGGACTCTGTGTCGATCTAGCTGTGTCTCCCTGGGCCCCTGTAAACTGGGGCGCCCGCTCTCTCTCCCCCCGAGGGCGGGAGACACCCACATCCAGCGCCCCGCCAGGTCCCTGGGGGCACGTCCTCGGATCGGTGTGTCGGAATCGCCGGCGTGCAGCAGGGAGTCAGGTACCTGAACCTCTACGTCAAGGACCTCATGCGCACGGGCTACGCCGTCGGAGGCCTGCTGGGAGAGGGCGACCAAGCCGCACACGCGCGCCCGGCAGGGTCCAGATCTGGACCTGTCGGCCTTTTGCCTCCCGCCCCGCGCGGGCCTGGCCCAGCCCTGCAGGTCTGGATCTGGACCCGTAGGCCCCCCACCACGAGCCAAGACCTCGACCTGCGGGCCCTCAGACCCTCGCGGACCTCCTCCCCTTCCTCCCCCCCCTCCGCCTCCTCCTCCTCCTCCGCCTCCTCCTCCTCCTTCTCCTCCTCCTCCTCCTCCCTCTCTACCGCCTCCTCCTCCTCTACCTCCTCCTCCTCCTCCTCCTCCTCCTCCTCCTCCTCCTCCTCCTCCTACTCCTCCTCCTCCTCTACCTCCTCCTCACCTCCTCCTCCTCCTCCTCCTCCTCCTCCTCTCCCCTCCTCATCCTCATCCTCCTCCTCCTCCTCCTACCTCCCTCCTCCTCCTCCCCCTCTCTCCTCCTCCTCCTCCTCCTCCTTCTCCTCCTCCTCCTCCTCCTCCTCCTTCTCCTCCTCCTCCCTCCTCCTCCTCCCCTCCTCCTCTCCTCCCTCCTCCTCCTCCTCCTCCTCCTCCTCCTCCTCCTCTCCTCCTCTCCTCCCCTCCCCCTCCTCCCTCCTGCCTTCTCCTCTCCTCTCATACTCCTCCTCCTCCTCTCCTTCTCTCCTCCCCCGCCGCCTCTTCCTCCTCCTCCTCCCCCCCCCCTCCTCTTCTCCTCCTCCTCCTCCTCCTCCTCCTCCTCCTTCCCTCCCTCCTCCTCTTCTCCCTCTTTCTCCTCCTCCTCCTCCTCTTCCGCCCCTGCGCGAACTCGCGGCCTCGGTGCGGCCACGGGCGCCGCAGGTCTGGAATCAGACTGGGTGCTCTCCGGCACTTGTCCGAGTCTAGCCCTGCGGCCCCCTGGGAGCCTCTTGGGGCCTCTTGGGGTCATCCTGTCGTGGCGCCAACATCGCAGAGCGGATTTTGTTCGTCTGCAAGGTCGGTGCAGTGAATCGTGGGGCCTCCAGGTCTAGATCTAGACCTGCTTGGGCCATCTTGGGGCCTGCAGGTCTAGATCTAGACCTGCTGGGGCGTCACGTCGTTTTGGGGGGGGGGCGTCTCATGGGGCACCAATAAGGGTGCGCGCTCCTTCGCCGCCCCGTTGGGGCTAGACCTAACCCTGGGGCTCCCTGCGACATGTGGGCGACGCAGACAAACGAGGTCGCCTTCGCCGACGCTGGCACGCAAGTCGCCCGCGCGAGGTCGCGCGTGAGCGCCCTCGCTTCCAACGTGGCATGCCGCGCTGGCGGCCCGCACAGGCCACCGCGCAGGGTCGCTGCGTGAACGTGCGTGAGGTTAAGGCGGGCCTGTCCCTTCTACAAGGGGAATGTGCAAGAATAGTCAAAAAATAGGATGGGGACTATTTTTGGAGCATTTCGTTGACCACTTTGGAGTATTTTTCCAATATTTCCTTTTTTTCTTTCGAGAGTCCCCCTGTAGGGGGACACGCCCGACTTCAGAGTAAGGCCTGCTTCCTTTCGCCGCTCCATGCCTGGATCTCCTGCGCCCCCCCCAGCCCCCCCCCCTGGGCAGAGGCCTGCTGGGGGACGACGACCACGCGGAGGCGTCGGCGCCCCCGGCGGAGTGCGCCCGCCGCATGGCCCTCCTCCGCGTGGGCTCGTCTGGCGCCCTCTGAGGCCCCGCGCGCCGCCGCCGGCCCCTCTCTGGCGTGGAGCTCTCCCGGCCAGGGCTGCGCGCGCCTGCGGCCTCCGCCGGCCCCCCCCCCCGGAGACCTCCCCCCCCCGAGACCTGTCGGGACGATCGAAAGGGGTACGGAAAGAATGGGTGCGATGCTCGACAGGGGTGAAAAAATCTGGCTGCCCACCCACCCTACCTAGGCCAACTATGCCTTGCTCGCGCGCTGCACGGCACGCGCGTGGGACAACGCGGCCTTTTGGCCCAGAAGAGAACCCAGAGTCCGGAACGCGTCGTTAGTCAAAAGTGGTTGAGATCGGTAATGCACCAAGTTCCTGTTCATTTTGCACAGGACTCGCTGTCCGCGCCGCCACGGCCTGAGTTCACTTGAGACCGAAGGTCGCCAACAGCGGCCGCTGTTGGTTTGTACCCATGTTTTCCGTGCACATTCCAGGCGTTTCAAACCCGGGCGCTGCATTTCTTATCAGATGTTTATGATTTTTCTTAGCATTATTATTTGTAGTATTATCATTTTCATCATTATTATTATCAGTCTTAGTAGTAGTATTAGTATTCTTCTTCTTTTCTTCTTATTCTTATTTTTAATGATATTGTGCTCGATATTCTTGTTAATATTAATATTATTGTTTTACTACTATTGTTATGATGATGATGATGATGCTGATGATGGTGATGGTGATGATGATGATGATGATGATGATGATGATGATGATGTGATGATGATGATGGTGGTGATGATGATGATGGTGATGATGATGATGATGGTGATGGTGATGATGATGAAGATGATGGTGATGGTGATGGTGATGATGATGATGATGGTGATGGTGATGGTGATGGTGATGATGATGATGATGGTTGTGATGATGATGATGATGATGGTGATGATGATGATGATGATGCTGATGCTGATGCTGATGATGATTCTGATTATGATGATGCTGCTGATGATGATGATGATGATGATGGTGATGATGATGATGGTGGTGATGATGATGATGATGAGGATGATGATGATGATGATGATGATGATGATGATGATGTTGATGATGATGACGATGATGATGATGATGCTGATGATGCTGCTGATGATGATGCTGATGCTGATGCTGCTGATGATGATGATGATGATGATGATGATGATGCTGCTGCTGCTGCTGCTGATGATGATGATGATGATGATGATGATGATGATGATGATGATGATGATGGTTATTACTTATTATTATTATTATGAATATGATTCTATTTAATATGTTGCCACCGGCGTCTTCGCCTGGCTTCGGGCCCCAGGGCCATCACAGATCGATCCGGCTCAAGACATGCTGCAGACAGATGGGGTCTAGGGCTCCAGTCGCCCTCTTCCGCGACGCCGCTGCTTGCTCGCAGCGTCGGATCTCCAGGGACCAGGTTCGCCGTGAAGGGGCGGGGGGTTTTGGAGGAGAGAGGTCCTGGAGGTCTTGCTCCGGTCTTCGGTTTCTTCCGGGGCTCTCCCTTGGGGAAAGCCCCGGGTTCAAGGACCCGTTCCCACCAGGATCCGCCAACCGGCGGAGCCATCTCTGGGCCACCTTTGGAGCACCTCGGGGCTTCCTTGGATCACCTGGCCACCGAGAGCCTTCTGAGAGAATCTTGGAGCCTTCAGGGGCCTACCGTTGTGGGCTATCTCTGATAATACTGGGGCTATCTTGGGCTCCCTGGGGCCCAACTTGGGGACTCTCAGGAGCATCGTCGGGCCGACTTGGAGCTATGGTTTATCGATGTTGGTGGCGTTTTGGTCCCTCGGGAGGCCACCAGGGTCGCCTTGTTGCCATCGAGGAACGTCTTGGGAAACCCTGAGACGATCTTGGATCGTCGTGGGTTCGTGGACTCTCTTTGAGCTCTCCTGTGGTGCGTCCTTGAGGACGCTCAGGCTTTCTTGGGCGTCTGGTGGCGTCCCCGTGGGGATCCTGGGGCTACCTGCGCAGAGCGGCCAGTTGAGCTGCCCCCCGACGGCCCCCCCCCGTTTTCACAAGCCCTCCTGTGCTGTCAGGCCCTGTGCCTCCAATACTCAGCAGCTCGCCTCCTCCTGCTCGCGGCTTTCCCTTCTGCCCCCCCCCCGCCCACCCCGGCACGCACGTGGCGACAATTGCAATCCTGGCATCTTGGGGAGGACGAGGTCTCGCAGGGTCTGACACCGTGAGACACCGCTCCGCTGGGCCCCCCCGGGGGGCGCGGCAGGTCTTTGGGACAGCTGCGCGACCGGCGGCGCCCAGAACAGGGAGGCGATTGGGGAATCCTGGGAGCAGAGATGCGGGGCAAAGGAGATATCAGGGCCCCCCAAATCGGCGTCGAGTGAAGGGGGGAAGTGAGAAGGAGAGTACCCTCTCAGAAGGCGGCGGGCCTTCTCAGAAGCCCTCGCGCCTTCTGAGAGGTTTTTGTGTCTTCGGGGAAGGCTTAGAAATGTTCTCAGAAGGCCAGGGTACTTCCGAGCCTTCTGAGAAGGCCCGCCTCTTCTCACTTCCCCCTCGGGCGTGCCGCCTAGAGACATCAGGGCCCCCAACAAAGAGGACACTGCTAATCAGGACTTTTGTGCTCTCTGCCCTAGGAGCCAAGAGTGGCGCACCCTTCGACCCACGGCTGCGGTCTTCTCTGGCGCGCCACTGCCTTAGTTTATTGAAGGTCCCATTTACGGGGCTATGAAGACAGGAGGGAAGGAGTCCGAAGGAGGAATGAGAATCAACACATTTTTCACTCAAGACGTGCGCTCTTCACAGGAGGGTTGGGAAACACAACGCACTGAACGCATGGAGCAGTGGAGCGGTCCGGCAGGGAGGCTCTCTCACCCACTTGCGTCTCCAGAAGGGGGCGGCGGTACCGTGTGCTCGGTAATGCTGAAGTTGCACGTGTCCAGCTTTGTCTGTACCTAGACTGGTTACCACGCCGTGAGCTTTCTCTGTTCGCACTTTAGGATCGTGCTGACGTGATACGTGTTCGGTTGCGCAGTCTACAGTTGCCAGCCTGGTCGCATCGAGCATGACTTCGCGCTGTGCCTCTGCGCAAGCAGGCGCAGTCTCGCTTTTGCTTTCAGCTTGCTGCATTCGTTCTGATGTTATCCCCACTTTCTGTTCCTTCCGGAAAAATACGTGTGCCCCCCCTCTCCCTCATATTATCCGTAAAGGGCTTCGCCCCCTGTCGCCGACCCCCTTTCTATCATAACAGGACACATCGGAGCTATATCGGGATGTCTTGGTGCCGTCTCGAAGACATGCTGATGCTGACGCCGATGGTGATGGTGATGTAGATCTTGCCCTTGATGCTGCTGCGGTTGCCGGTGATGAGATGGTGTTGATGATGTCGATGGTGATGAGCATGATATGGATGATGGGGATGATGATCACATTGCGTGAAATCGAAGGGCTGCGCAATAACTTGGAGCAACATGAGCCCATCCAGAAACGACTGATCCATGAGCCCTTCCGTCCGCCAGGGTGAGGATACTTGACGCCTCGCGTGTCGCTACCATCACATCCAGAAGCGATGGAGGAAAGGAGGATCGAGGAGGAGGAGGAGGACGAGGAGGAGGAGGAGGAGGAGGAAGAGGCGCGATGCGAAGGATCGTGTCCTCGGGGACGCGAATATTTTGTAATTTAAAAGGGATCGTGGCCTCGAGAGCGCGACTATAGCAGTATTTGCGGGACTCGTGGCATCGGGTAACAATTATTGCATATTCTATAGAAGGGATTGCTGCGTCGGGGTCGCGAATGCAGCGTAGCTTGCATGGGTTTATGGCTTCGGGGATGCAATTGTGGGAGAACTTACAAGGGATCGTGGCCTCGAGGACGCGAACATAGTGTGATTTATAAGGTTTCTGGCTTTGGGGACCCAGATCTGGTGTTATCTACAATGGATTATGACCTTGGGGGCGCCAATCTTGTGTACATTACGAAGGATTATGACTCGGGGGGCGCGGGCATTGTGCAATTTGCACGCGTTTTTGGCGTCGTGGGCGAAACCATCGCAAATTTGCAAGGGTTCATGGTTTCGGGGACGCGATTATATTGTAATCTGCAAGGGTATGTGGCCTAGTGCACGCGAAGATGTTCTAATTTTAGAAGGTGTATTGCTCCGGGGGCGCGGATCTCATGTATTTTTACTTGTCCCACGATTCCCCCATGGCTGAAACCATCCAGAGGCCGTGGTGTAGGGCGGTTCGGGGCTCCCCCCCTTCGCGTGGACTTCCGCAATTTACAATGGTAAGCAGAAGGTGGACCATCACCTCGGAAGTCGGACACTGGAACTAGTCCATGGAGCAGCAAGCCTAAACCGTGCAGCCTCATGGCTTCACAGGGAGGCCGGCGGATCTTGCTTCCCCTCTCCCTTCTTCCCCTCCTTTTCCTTCCCTCTCTCGTCCCCTCACCGCCTGCATCCCCTTCCCATTTGCTTCGGGAGGAGGGAGGGACGAGGGGGAGCATGAATATAACAAACAGCACGCGTGCCAAGGATCATATTATCACGGATGTGGGACATTGGGAGCTTGAGGTGGTGCCAACCTGTAGTAGTTTCGGGGAAGCTCGCGAGTGCTGCGACACGCTGAGCTATGGCGTGAAGAATTTGTGATGTCACTGAGAGCTGATGGCGGCTCTTTGACTCTTCCTGGCCGTGGTGCTATTGGGCGTCTCTGGGGCTTATTGGGGGTCTTGTGTGGGCCCGTCTGGGGCTCTTTTGGGATATCCGGGGGCAATCTTGAGCTGTCCTGGGGCCTTTTTGGCCCGTCGTGGGGACTCGGGGGGAGGGCCAGGGCCACGAGTGGAGCGGGGGGGTACGGTCGGCTGGTCAGAATTGGCAGGCGGGGGTTCCACGGGGCGGCATGGGCGGGACGGGGGTGGCCGAGGAGACGGGAGGGGGGGTACGGTCGGTCGGCGGGGGCCACGGGGCGGAGGGCGGAGGCGCGGCCGGTCGGTCGTTCGAAATAAGCAGAAGGAGGCCACGGGGCGGAGGGGA